CATAAATAAAATGGTACAATTATTTTTTAAATGGAGAAAATAACACTTCAATGCTTTCTGCAGAATCATGATTCTCTGTTCATCAACACAGAATTATTATGTCAGTGGATGGTGCATTTTAAAAATTATATTAAACCTAGTAATGAAAATATAAAACTATTACTGTTTTAGATAACCACAGCTCGCATCGTAATTAAAAAGCTATCCAAGTCACAGAATCCAACCTGAGTGAAAAGTCACATATTAATCAATGGTTTTTGCATATAACATATATATAATATAAGTTAATACCTTAGTTTTTTCACTAAGTGCGTACTCTTATATACATTTACCCTACTACCTATAGAAAGGTACCTATATCCAGTATAGTATCTAGCAGTTTAAAGAATACCATTTTTCTATTACGTTGCATTTCTTGTTTTTCTCTTCAAGTTCAATGATTCTAACGCAATAATGGCAAGGTCATGGTTAGAAATGCAAGCTTAAAATAACGTACCTACCTATTTTTTTATTTCATACTTACTCAGCAAATATTTTATTATTTAAGCAAATTTAAACTATATTAATTTTTATTTTATAAGGTATTTGCAAATTTAAATTGGCTTTATCCTTATAATTGCTTTTAATTCGTGTTTATCTGATAAACTTTATCATTGTTAACTCGAAAATAAAGTTTAATTATCGCGATAATTATTACTGTATTAAGAACAATAATAGTAATCATTTAAATGACTTGATTTTATTTATTTTACCTGATAAAATGAATTAATCACTAATTAATTAATTAATTAGAGATTAAACATTTATTCTTAAATTGTATTGTTTTATATACAATAATAGTATATTATGTATCAAGTTTTATAAACGCCATTTTAGTTACGAGTTTTATTAATCACGAGCTTGTAAGCGAGTGTTTAATAAAAACGAGTGTCTAGATAAGTTTATAAAAGCATACTATACTTTATTTACGACGAACACAAAGAAGAATTTAAATCTAATTTTATTTGTTAAAAATTTGACATCTGTCAAATGTCAACGGAATTAACCTCACTTTTCTCTAATTTATAATAAAGCTAACTTCAGCCCGTGACTAAAACGCCATAAAGTCACAGCTCGTCAATGTAGGAGTAGATACAGTATATTTTAGTAATCTAATATATTTCAAAAGTTACTTTGTCGCTCGCTTAGTTACCATGGAAACTATAATAAAGAAACGTTTAGTGCATTTGCCACTTTTGACACAAACGTCAAATTTGAGGTTATCAATAATTATTAATTTTTCCAAACATTCTTATAGAAACACCGGTTGTAGAAAAAAATCCTGTGTGTAATTCGAGCGCAAAGTGACATTGTAGCTCTCGCTCAGAGCAGCAATGTATCACTTGAAAAAATGATCCTAAAAAGGCACTTAGAGAGGGCAGAAAGGCACAACAATGCAAAAACTGCAATATTAAAAAATAAACGCGTTAATTCAAATATACCTACAAATATGAATCAAAAAAGTTTTAACACAACAAAAATAATTAAAATTAATAAAAAAATTAATTTAATAAAATATCAATGCATTTTTAATTATTTTGTTAGTATAATTAGCATTAAAGTAGCAAACAATTTTTGTTTAACCTTTTCTCTATTTAAGTCATGTCGCTCACCGCTTACTGCTTACCGCTCACCAAAATAAATAAACACACCGATTTGAACTTCGATTCGGTGTGTTTATTTATTTTGGTGAGCGGAGCTATGTGCGATGTGCGAGGTCGGAGCAATGGTTGGCACTTCGTTGTGTTTGCACTAGTGATGTAACGAATATTCGCATGATTTTTAAGATTCGCATAAAAAATGTATCCGAATGTTTTGCTAATGTTGTTAGGGAAAAAAGGAACAGTTTTATTATTTACTTTAGTACATGAATAAAGGTATCTGCTTTATAATCAGATATTTCTTAAATTCTACTTGAGTTTTGACATCTATAACGACATTTTTATGCTTATAAACCCTTTAGGTATCAAATAAATCAATATTGTTTTCACACAACACAAAACCTGGTAGAACAAAGATAAGCCATAAAAGTCGTTGTTCCAAAAACGACTTCAGTTTCAGGATCCCAGGGGCTCTGCATCAAGCAAGGTAATATAGGCACTTAAAATTGTTCTCTTCACTAAACAGTTAAATATTCCTCAACGAGAATTGAAAGGAATGAAACAGGTTGCACATTTTGTCAGCCTCATATATGTTCGCTTTTGGCACGAGGCAATTGTAAGTCGATGAGCTCCAAAGAATGATTTGGAAATGATACAGCTTCTGAGTACTTACTGAGACGCGGACGTCAGAAAAGGTGCTCTCACAGTTGCTAAGGGACACCTTTGGTATCTGACAGAAAAAAACGAGGGATTAGCTTTTTATGACGAACGTATTACTCATGCTGTTAAGGAAAATATGAATAAAAATTTAGAAACCAAACCTGCAAAGAAAAAGAAAATGAAACAATTAGAGGGTAAATCCTAGTTTTTAAAGGAAAGGACCTGAGCCATTTCGTTACTAACAAAACAAAGACATTCTTTGAATTGTTTGGGATCAACGACGTGACAGAATACTGCACTTATTCTCTAAGAAGCCTTAAGGTGGTCAATGATACCACAGAAAGAGAAATTGCTCTAATAAAAAAATTTAACGAATCTGTCGGGAACGAGGATAAAAAACAATTCATGTTGAGGGTAGTCGAGCATCACAGAAAAGTTGTCACTAAGCAAACAAAAGAAGGGATTGCATCGTTCAAAGTTGATTAATAAGACACATGTTTTGCCTAACTAAACTAATATTAATAAGTACCTAGTACTAGGTACTTATTAATATTAGTTTCTAGTTTTAATATTATTTTAAGTTTGTAATTTCTAGTTTTCCCAATAAAAGTATTTAACATTGAAAAATCCTATTTTTGACTACCTTTAAAAAACTGTTCAAAGTGTGGAACCTCTAAATATTATCCAATCTTCTTGAAATTTGGCGTACATATATTTTACATCACGGAGACTCGGGGCCTGAGCAAAGTCTGCACAAATTTTACATTTTAGTTTATACCCTACAAAATGAAACACCCTACCGGGTACAAGCTTACTTTTTACAGATGTATTTTCTGATAGTTCCTGTCAGATAACCCAAACTCAACATATCTTTGATATAATTGACAATTTTAATTTTTTAAACATCATTGGAAAATTATGTTTAATTCTTCTATATAAAAACATATTTTTACAAAATAAAAATTAAAAATATGAAACAACGCTGGTGCGCCATTTTCAGGAGACCATGTATAGGCAAGAACTGTCTTTCGGTAATCACTCTTGCTTAGAATCTTGCCGGATATTCGGTATCCGGTCAAACAATTATCTGTTTAATCTCTATTTTGTTAGGTTTTTAACAATGTTTTTAACCTATTTGTTTTTGTGCTTTTTGTCTATTTGATTGATTTGAAGGAGAGCCTTTGCAGGCAGCACTTAGGCACACATACGGCCCATTGTGCAAACCCCCTTTTGGTGAAGCCCTGCCTTACCTTACGAGCCCGCAGCTTTTAAGAAAAGCGCAGACCCGCTCTGGTCGGGCATGCATTATTTCCTCTGGTTACAAGTATCTGTCCCCTAGGTGTCTTAGTCTACTATTGACTAGAGCGTCGCATTCGCAGACTATATGCTCGGTAGTTTCATCTACTTCGCTGCAGTACCTACAGTCCGTCTCGTTGCTGAGTCCGGTTTTGTGTAGGTGATATTTGACTACCCAGTGTCCTGTTAGGACTCCTGTGATGGTTTTCAACTGGTTCCTGTTAAGTTTCAGGAATCTTTTTGCCTCTTTACATGTAGTAGGACTCTTTATAAAGACCCTAGACTGCCTGAGGCCTTGTTGTTCACGCCATTTGTTCTGGAACTGGTCGGTAGTCCAGTTCCTGATCTTGGTTTTTACCAGACAGGAGGCGACCCCTATGACAGGTTCTGGCCCCGTGAAGGCCGTGTTGCTGCCCTCACGAGCCAGCTGGTCTGCTTCCTCGTTGACTCTAATGCCTCGATGACCCGGTACCCAGATAAGGTTAACCTTGTTGAGCACACTGAGTAGTTCGAGGGTTTTGATGCAGTCCAGTGTAAGTCTCGAGTTGACCTTTTCCGAGTGAAGCATATGCATATGTAGATATGTTTACCCGAGTAGCCTCTCTGGAGATTCTCTTGGGCGCATATCTGGATGGCAAAGATTTCGGTCTGGTATACCGTTGGGTATCGACCTAGTGCAAGACTTATTCTCGCCCCAGGTCGCTCTCCATATACACCAGCTCCTGCACCTTCCTTCATTAAAGACCCGTCTGTGTACCAGATGAGCCCTTCCGGTTTGAGAAAGCCTGGGTCAGGCTCGCTCCAGTCGTTTCTGGAGGGTCTATTTACCTACCTATTTAAAGAAAACCTTGTTTTGGTCTATAATTACCTACAAAATATTAATTGGGTACACTACTCTATAAGGTTTGCGACTGGAACAACCTTTGCTGTGATTTTAAGTATTAAAATCCTTTTTTGTTTAATTTTAATTTAAATAATATATATTATTATAATTGTTATCTGAAATATATATTTTTTAATCGGAATTTAACAACGTCAACATTTCGGGGGTTTAATTGCCTAATTATAGGGACTCTAAATTTATAATTGGCTACATTGAGTAAAACAAAATAATTTAGAGGGTTTATGCAGCACAAATTAATTATTTCATCAAAATGCTGTATTTTTCTTTTTGTTAAGAATTTTCTGTTATCTTTGTCATTGTTTATTAAAATTCTAACAAGTAAATGATGAATATCAAAGTAACGTTTTACCAATTTTAAATACTAAAAATACCAAAGTACACAACTGTACCTATATACAGTACCAACATAATCAAATGTGTCAAATTTTAAAAATAAATAATTTAAAAATATTTAGTTATGCTCAGCAAGCTAAACAAGATAAAAATATTAACGTTTTTACCTTAATTTAATTTCATCCCAATTTTTCTTTAAGAAGTTAAACAACGTGGTGTATCCATTGGCTCCTCCTGTCAACATACTAAAAATCAAGTAAACATCGGTATCGGTGAAGTTTCCATTTTTTTCCAAAACAGTAATATTCAACAATCTTTCAATTTTAGAAGCGTCATTCGGACATCCGGCTAAGGTTTTTAATAAATATGTTCTTTCGTTCTGTTTTCTACCAGGTGGAAACTGAATGACCCTTTGTAGGCCAAATTCCCATTCTTCCTGGGTGCCCCATTTAAACACTGGACAAATGTACTGATTGGCAACACTAAAAATAAAAGATAAAACATCTTTTTAAATAAATTAAATACACAAAACAAATTCCTATTCATACAGTTATTTGTTTTAATTAATTTTTAGTTTTGTTGTTTACGTAATTTCCTTTTTGAATTTTACAAATTGTTAACTGTCCAGCTGCCCGGGCGGCCTAAGTAAATCTGTTTTTAAAAGAGTTATTATTTTACCGAAATAAAACGCCTTATTAAACGCATTTTAATGATTTTTTAAAGGTAAATATGAGTTTATTTTAAATCCAAGTGATAAAACATAAATATTGCAATATGTATGTTTTATCACTTGGATTTAAAATAAACTCATATCATGATAGCCCACATATTTGAGAAAATTCTTAACCCGGCGTTGGATACCTGGGGTAAATATAACCCCAGCGAAAATAAACTTGCTATAATTTCAGCAATACCATTCTTATCGACCTAATAAGGTGGACGCCAGAACTGGATCCTATGGTGGACGAGTTTTTGTTCGTGCCGCGTGATTACGTTACATGAGTATGAGTATGAGTATAAGACACGTATAACCGGCCCCATTACCTCATTGCTCCCGGGCCCCGCACAGGCGTCTGTTTCCTTACGCCGATTTTCTTACGCCACCAGCAACGATACGGCTTAACCCGTGTTTGCTGGGTGTCAATGTCCATTGCGTTACGTACTGTCCCCTATTTAGCTCTAGAGCGAAATGCCAATAGTTTAAATAGTAGAGGTAGCGATATTATCGATAGTCTATCGATAGTTTCGATATTTTAAAAACTATCGAATTATCGATTCTATCGATAGTTACAAACTATCGTCTAGCGATAGTAGAATCAAAAAAAATTATTATAACTATCGTTTTTTATTCGGAATTTGACGTCATTAAAAATTTGGGGTTTTAGTTGGCAAAATCTAGGGACCCTAGATTTACCAACGGTAAACTGTCTCAAATATGTGCTGTCAATTATTTTATTGTTGATGTTTTAAAACTCGATAGTTATTATAGATTTTGATATAAAGGTTTTAATAACTAAGGTAGATATTTATATTGAAATACTATACCATGGAGCCTACACAAGGAGCCCGAACTTAATAGGTGAAAGGAAGATTCTTGTTTACATAAAGGTCGGACTCCTTGTGCTATACTATATTTTTGACTCTCCTGTATTTGGTAGGTTGAAAATGTGCCTACTATAAAAATAAACCCCTTATTTTTTTAATAAAATCATTGACTAAGGAATCACTCAACGATAAAATGTTAAAGTATGCGGTTTTGAAATTTTAGTAAACTATCGATAGTTAATCGATAGTATCGATAGTCGCTTTTCTCACCATCGATCCTATCGATAGTCTACTTTTTACCACTATCGCTACCTCTATTAAATAGCCTTTCCTGGATTCGCCAGGCCGTTGCTAAACGCGCAGTTGGGTCATTAAGGAGGTAGGACGGAAGGGATAGCCATTTTGGTGTTTGGGGGACAATTACGCCGACTCAAATCTAAGTACAACGCGGTATCCCTGTAGACCAGGCAGTTAGTAATACTCTAAACATTTGGGATTACTGTTTGGAGTTGGGGAGTTGTTATTTTGTTGCAGGGTCCTACGTCTTGGTCTACGTTTTGGTCGTTATTGTTCGTGTCCGTGACCAAGTCGGATTGTTTCTGCACTTGTGTCGGGCCGTGTCTGCTGAAAATTACCATGCTGAAAATTCGGAAACCGCTGTATGTCGATGTCTGGTCCACTGTGCGAAACCGTTTCTTCAGTCTTAAGGTCGAAAACTATCGATAGATAGTTCAGTAGTCGGCCATGTAACTTTTTTAAATGTTTATTATCGCAGTAGTGCGCTATTTTTTAATAATTTTTAGTTATTGTGTTGCCCAAGCACGTTTTGTGATAGAATTATATTTTGTTTTTGTTTTCTTGCTAACACTAAGGTATTGCATATATTTATTAAGTTAAACAAATGGTAAGCGCAATTATTTTGTTATACTATTTTAGGCTCGCAAAAGACCATTACCTACTTTTGTTCGATAGATTGGGGTGTTAAGGTCTATTTTTTTATGTTTACGTTAGATCAGTAATTGGTTTTTTTTATTACCTACTTAAGATTTATGGGTTTATTGACTTTTAAGTCACGTCCTTTGGTCGGATTTGCTTGTTTTTTAATTTTTAAGTCGAACTTGCTTTTCTGTATAGGCATACCTACATAAAATACCTATAGGTATTTTTTGGTCTATTACGATTTTTTTATTCTCTCTTTACCTATTTTGATGTTGTTTTTTTAAATGTATTTTTGTTGTTACTGCGGATTTTTAAACTTGAGAAGGTATAAACCAGGATGCTTTGTAGGCTTGGTAAATTACGGAATTAGTAATTTCAAGTTTTTAGTATCAATTGCGAATAGCGACGTGCAAATATTAATAAAATACTTATCCGAATTTTGCGGATGCCCCTTGTTTGCTCTGATATCAATTTCCCGCAACAATGAATAGGTGGATGGCAAGGGTGACACTATACACTTTGCACTTTAGTCCTGGTCGGTGAGGCGATTATGCACCTTTGCGGAACTTTTAGGTATTCTGGATTTAAAGTGCACTGGTTATTTTTGTATCCTTTGTGGAGCGTTAGAAATATACGTCTGACTGCAGTACACCATGGTACAAGCGATACTGTCGCAAAAGTGATTACGATACATTTTAAGTATCTGAATCATTTTTAAAAGTAAATTAACTTAATAATGTGTAATTCGTATTAATAATTAAGAGCAAACTTCGTCTATCACCCATCGCCGGTGAAGAATCTACTACTGAATTACAAAAACCGTCTCTTGGGCCGAGAATGCGGCCTGTCTAAATACGATTTTTTTTATAAATTCCTGTGAATTTTTATTTTTATAATAATTTATTTTAAACCTTTTGTTAATTTTATAAATTCAAAATAAGTTTTTTAAAAGGGCGCAAAGGGGTTTAATCTCTTTGATCTTTAAAAATATTTCATATATTCTTTTTTTAATTTAAAATCATTGGGGTTTACCCCAAAGAGTAAACCACTCTAAAATCAGCTAGACCAACGTTTAACGTTATATGAGCGTTTCTCTGTAAACTGGGCAACTTGAAGTAAGAAATTGTCTAGGCAAGTTTTTTTGTTATATTTTTGTTGTATTTAGTAAATGTTATTCGAGGAATAAATATCGGTCTATTTATTAGTATACGGCAGATGAACCAAAAATAGTCCTATTACTTTGGAAAACATTGAGCATTTTCTGAAAAATCTATACAGGGGACTGTTTATAAAATCCGGAGACAAAGTTTAGATGACTTTTTTAGAATTACAAAATAATAATTATAAAAAATAAATAAGTCACAGTAACAAGCAAACAATATTGGTTGAATAATTAAACAATTAGGTTGATTCCAATAGTTACTGTCTTTAATTAATTTAGTCTGAAGTGACAATTTTGCTTTGGTGACACGTCAGGGGACTGGTTTTTAAGGACTATAAAAACGATTTTGATACATTAAAGTTTATTTTATTGGATTTTGAACGTCGAGCATAGGTAGATTAGGTTATTATCTTTTGAAGTTATCTACGAAATATTTATGATCTGTTATTTTTCTAAAAAATATTAGCTTGACACAATGAGTTGCCCAGTTTACAGAGAAACGCCCATATAGACGTTGTGCTCTGATTTTCCCTTATTCGACCCTTATCAATCGTTAAGGAAAAATCCTTATTAATAAAAATGTCTCTTAGCGACGCGTTGCACATGACTCCTCTGATTTTTTTCCTTAGCCGTTAATTCGTATGCGATTTATAATTTTAAAAAATCAGTGGATAACCACTCGATTTACCCCACGTTACCAAACATGTTTGTGAAAATAGATAGTATATCTAAATTATTCGTAAAAGTCAAATAATCATTTTTTTTTTAACATAGCATGTAACCTTGAACGATCCAAAATATTATGGGTATTTTGTTTTTGTGTTATGTAAATAATCTTAGTTGGTTAGGTTTAGCGAAAATACGCCATGACGTAATAAAAAACGTCATGGCGTAATAAAATAGGTACCTATTTCCTTCACAAAATAAAAATTAACTTAGAACTTTTTCAATAAAAATTGCAAAAATCCAATGAATTAAAAACATATAACATAAAAAAAAGAATATACAAAATTTTAGCATCTCTTATGAATAGTATCAAGGTATCAAGTATCAATTAAGTAATATAAGATATATTTAAAATTTGCACTTTGCCCGTTTTTAAACAAACCACATAGTTATTTATTTTTAATATATCATTTTACATTGCAAATGGTACCAATGACTAGGTATTTTATTAATTTAAATTTGTTTGATTTTATGAATCGGTCACAGTCATATAATAAAACCCGGCAAATGATTATATGCATAGTCATTTAAAAAAATACAGGGCAGATGGTCAAAACATATTTAATCTGTGTTGTTTTCCCATGTGCCTAGGTATTTAATAAATGTCGGCATTGGAAACGTGGCATTTAATAAGTAACGTATATTTTAAAATCCTCATTTCATATCTCAACTTAACCTGTGGGCAAAATTTTACTTTTCTCACTAGTGAACTAAATATAATTGGTTCACGGGCTGAAGTTGTGTGCGACTATTGGTCAGAAAAGGAGATTCCACTCGCGTGTTACCGTGTATAACCACGCTCGAGGAATAATATTAATATTGGTATATTAGAAATAAAAAGCTGGCACATGATTTTTTGAGGTTGGATTGGGATTTACTGAGATTATGGGTGTCAAATATTATTTTTTTTATTTTTATGAACACCAACCCAACCTCAAAAAATCATGTTTTAGCTGTTTGTTTATTACACTGCCCCTGGAAATTTTTTTGCACTGTCCGACCTTTACATTAAAAAACAAATAGTTAAGGTTATCTCTCTATGAGTTTTTTAAAACAAATTTTGGCGACTGGGTGTTCGGGTTGGTAAGCGAATTGATCGATTGGGTATAT